TATTACAGTTTGTTGTATAGAAATTAATTTTAAATTTTTTCCACTACTTTTGCGTTATACGGAAGTAGTGGATCTAACATAAGGACTAATGGCTTGATTCAAATTCAATTTCAATAATCATTTGACAAGAAAGATGGTTTGTTTGTTCCAATTATGCTAATTAAAATTAAACTATCTAAAAATGCAATTAAAGGGGACATTAATGATCAAGTTAAAGGAAGATGAGAGAGACTTAGGGCATGGAATTTACCTCTAAGCCCTTGTAATTTGTAATACCTCTAATTTTAAAAGGATAGTCTCGGTATTATTTTTAATGTTTTAATTGCATTTTATTTATTTATTGGAATATTTGGCTATTTGATTAAATGATTAATTGAAATTATGTGATTAAATGTTTTATTTGAATTAAATGATTAATTGAAATTGTGCTTGTGTATTTTAATTTAAATTTAATTGTATGATTTTTATGTGCTAAATGATGTGTACTTAATTATCTACATGCTAAATGTTTATTTGTAAATAAATTTGGTTATTTCATTTTATTTAATTTTTATGTTAAAGGATGAATGTGGATAGTAGTAATGGACTAACCATTTGGGTCCCTTGGACTACTTGGATAGGAGTCTGAATGGGTATGGATAATTACCCATGGATAGTAATATTTGTATGTATATATATATATAAAAGGAAAATAATTTATTAATTAATATTATTATAACATTAGTATTAATAAATAATCTGATGTATATATTTTATGTATTTATATAATAAGGATATGCAAAAATTATATACGTAACATATTTTTAGTTACCTTTTTAATATTATAGTTTTTATTATTTTCTTTATTAAGTTGACTTAGTTTGGGAAAAGGATTAGGGTTATTTATTTCCCTATAAATATATAACTATAGTTAGTAAAAAGGGGTTAGAAATTAAATCACGTAGTATATTTTGAAGGAAAAAGGCAGAGAGTTTAGAGAGAAAAAAAAGGAAGAGGAAGAAGGAGGTTAGGGTTTTTAATCAAATCTTTAAGGCAAGTTCTTTTATTCTCTTCTCATTTGATTCAGATTATATACATGCTAGATTAGTTTTAGGATTATTTAATTAAACTAATTGAACCTATTTGCATGATTAAAACTGAAATTACAGTGTCTGTATATATGTAATGGGTTTGTGTATATGCTTTGTAATTTGGACAAATTAATGCATGAATTGGGTTCTACTGTATTGAAATTTTACTTATGAACTATATTGTTGTTGTTGGGACGTTCTGGGAAGGTGAAACAAAGCTTTAAATCTCAATAATGGAGGTTTAAAGAGCAAACTCGTTGAAGAAGACGATGAACAGTTCAGGGTTCGGCTGACTGACACAGGGGTTTGGTCGACTAAAGAAGGACCATCAGTCGACCAATAGGAGGATTCGGTCGACTGACTGAAAGAGGGCTGTCGGCTGACCGGTAGGGGATTTCGGTCGACCGACATAGCTTAGGACGGGGTTTTCTTGGAGTTTTGTATACTCTATGTGTATATATATTATTTAACTTGTTTTAATGATTTTTAAATTGTTAAACTAGATTGTGGAGGATTTAAAAAACATGATTTAAAGTTTATATGTTAAGCATGGAATTTAATTAATAGAAAATGTTAAGTTAATTAAATGTGATAGCATTAAATTATTTTATTCAATTGTTTGAATTTAAATGAATTTAATCAAATTATAGATCGAGTTGTACAATTTAATTGAGATACATGTTAATTTCTTATGAGGTAAATTAAATGCATGTTACTTAGAATTGTGATATTTTGCTCAATTAAATGGAAAGGATGTATATTATGAATTACATCATGTTTAATTGGATGATAAGATGTAGTTTACATTATTGGAATCATCCTTGAATTGGAAATCTGTAATTGGTTATGTGATAGTTTAAATACACTATTATGGGATGAGGGCATATTAGAAATTGATTAACGGAATAGTGAAGTCCAACCTATTTATATTTATAAGGGAATTGATTAACCATAGAGTCAAGTCTTATTTATTCGTGTCAGGTCAGCGGAACAGTTGGATGACATATTATTAAAATAATACTTGGATAATTTTATTTTTATTTGGATATGATGGACATTATATATATAGTTATGAGCTATGATATGAGCTTGAGTCTCAGGATCAATGGTTAGGGTATGTATATTGTCAGGAATATGTAGTTAGATATAGTGCAGTTGTGTGCCCTGGTAGGTCTAGGTACTCATGCCCACTATATGTGCGTTTTGCATATTGCCTACTATTCAGGTTGAGGCAACCCTATAGCTAGTGAAGTTCCTTTAGTGTGTATATATATATATGTGGACTATTAGTTATTGTTAAATTATTTAGGATGTATATGATTTCTGAGTTTCTGTTTGGGATGCAGTAGATTAGAATTTGTTTGTGAGCCTAATCCACCATTATTTTTCAAGTGTTCGTCAATACCAGGCTTAGGGATTGTTCGTGCTGAGTAGAGAGAATCTATTCACTCTTCCGTCTTAACGTAAAATTTCCTTCTTTATGTTTTAGTTGGATATTATTTTATGTCAGTGGGATATTGGATTAGGGGTCGACATGATGGATTTCCAAGTTGTAATTTTAATTAATTACTTGTATCAGAGGATTTTGTTGTTGGAGGTTTATTATTGGATTAATTAATGAGATTTTATTACGTACTTAGTATTCTATCAGCTTTTATTCTTTATTCTTAATTCGTTTTGTATTCCATGCTTGTTAAATACTTTAATTGTTTAGATATCCTTTGGTTCTGTGCTAGGATTTGATCATCCGTGACTCTAGAATCGAGTGGTATCACATAATCACACCAATTGCATTCATATTTTGGATAAACAAGTGTGTATAATGAAGATGTGGTTACAAGCACACATCAAAAGGCAAGAGAATACTATAATTATCACTAAGAAGAATGAACCATCAAAACCAATCATAAATTGTCTACCTAACTACAATTAAACTAAAGGTGTAATACAATCCATCAAGATCAAGCATGAACCATCAAGCTAAATGCAATTGTATCTAATTAAAACTATTGCATGACCATCATCAACCACAATTACAAAGAGTGAGCGATGTAGAGATTAATCATCAACAATCTAAACATAAGATAACATAGAGACTAGATGAAGATTAACTGAATGATTTAAGCACTATCATATTTAGTATAACCAAATTGAATAAGATCACACAATTCATATACACAAATATTCCCCTAAGTTTGAAAACAATTAATATGAATACTTGAGCCTAGGGCTTCATCCAAGCCCTAAGAGAGAGGCTAGCCGGCCATAGAGAGGATTAATGTCGTCTTTGAAACTTCAAACTCCGTCTCCAACCAAGCTCGACCACACATTCTTCTTTGACCATTGAGAGCAAACCACAGAGAAAGAAAGTAGAGAGAGATTTTCTTGATCCAAAAACCCACCTCCCATGCAAAATGGCTTGAATCCCCTTTTACACTTGATCCTTGGGCTCCAAAAATGGTCAAAATTTGTACACAAGGCTCATCATTTGAGTGCACCCCGAGTTGGCTTGAAGAAGGCTAAAGATTTGAATTTCTGAACTGAATGGCCGAAACTTGATCGATCAGATTAAGTGTCCGATCAATTGGATTCCGAACGCAACCCGAATGTAATCCGATCGGTCGGATTACCTTGAAATGTGCTGCAAACTTGCATTCCTTGCTTAATTCTGCCACAATCTTCAAATGAACCTTTAAGCACAAGATTTAGCTTGGATTAGTGCATGCCCAGCCCTAAGCACCTGAAAATGGGGAATAAAGCAATTTATGACTAAAATGGAAAAACAAAGATAAATTAAGGAACTTATGCAAAGATAAGGGTTGAATCATACATCTTTTAGCACTTATCACCATGTACCCTCTCTCGCACATCTCTCTCTCTCTCTCTCTCTCAATTGAAATAACGAGATAAATCTTGTTGTGTTGTCCCTAGCTATTTAATTGGTTCTCAGAATTTCACATTTAGTTAAAAACTCTATCGTTTTTTTACAAGGGTGACATGGTCTTTTGCTTTTTCATGTACTGAAAGGTAGAGTAAAATGCATAAAAAAAATAGTTCAAGAAAGTTTTATTTTATTTTTAGTTCGGGTGGGTTTCTTGCTACAGCCCCATAGTTCAAGGGGGTTTGTACCAGCGGCGGAGCCAATTAAGGCCCAGAGGGGGCATGTGCCCCCTTCACTTTGCTCTAACCTACTATATATAGGTACATATTTTTGGTATATATATATACTTACATGGTAATTTTAAACAGTGCCCCCCTCAAATTTTCAAATTCTTTTAATTTCCTTTTGAAAAAAAAAAAAAAATTATATATATCCATTCTTCAAGTATACAATATATTTTTCATTTTCTAATTTTTTTTTCCTTCTTCAAAAAATTTCTTTTTTCACTTCTGTATAATTATGTATTTTTTTTTTAAATATTTCTTTTTATCGATGACATTTGTGATTGTATTTAATTAAAATATTATTAATTAATATTTTAATTTTTATATTTGTAACTATATTTTTTTTACGGTATTTATTTAGCATATTATTTTTACAACTATTTTTTTCTTATTTGCCTTCTTTATTTAAAAAAATTATATTAACATATTTATTATTATTATTATTATTTTTTTTTTTAACAAATGCATTGTACCCCTTCTGAAATAAAATCATAGCTCCGCCCGTAGTTTGTACTTTGTACTCCTGCTTTTAGTCCTAGGCTCAATCAACATTTTACCTTTTTTATTTTTTATTTTAACAAGTATATATAGTATAGATTTGCAATAAGATATCATAATAGATTTTATCCGAGTAGAAATAACATCTAAAAATCCCATTGTGGCGGACCCTTTATCCCTTCAGAATTTACTTAAACCAGGTTAAAAACACATCCCAGTACGTGAAGCAAATATTTAGGTAAGTTTGAGTTTGACTAACAGTTGGTGCCTATGTTTGTAGGTCCTAAATGTCCTATGATATGATAACAGATTTATTCCTTGTCTATGAATTGATTCTCTCATCACCGCCCAGATACTGTTATAAATTCCTGCAACAAGAAAGTCGATGTTCTATTGAAATATATATATATATATATATATATATATATATATATGGATAGATAGATAGATAGATTCTCCAATGCCCTCAATCAAAATTATTGATTAGATTGACGTTCAGATAGTATATATACCCTCAAACTATAGCATCTTCGTATCAGTCTGTGGCACAGAATCATCTCAAAAATCAAATGTACATGAACCCAATAGGCAAAGAACTTAATTAACCTCTAGTGTTCGCTTATATATACATACATACATATATATATATAGAGAGAGCAAATCTAATTAAGATTTAAGAGTAAAGAGTGTTATATATGATGGAGACCGTGCATAGAAGAAGAAGATCAGGAACAGGTGGTGATGATGAGAGTTCAGAAGATGATGAAGAGTTCAAGGTCGAAGAGCTTCGAGCGGAGTCCAATCCCATATCGACTTGGAAGGGTCTTCTAAAGCTGTTCGTGAACGGGTCAGGAGGAGGAGGAGGACCAGACTCAACCACACATGCGGAGAGGAGTTTCATTATCCATCCTGACAACTGGTAAAATACTCTCACTCTCTCTGTCTCGCACTCTTTTACGGACTCAACTCATATCTCACGTTAAAATTTAAGAATTATTATAAATAAATGGTACTAATGACTCATATTTATTATTTAATAGAATTAAAGTCTAATAGTTTTAAAATAATAAAATTGACCAAAGTGCTCAAAATAATAAAGTTGACCAAAATGCTGCCGTGAATATGAAAAAAGACTATTTGCCAGTATTTTTATTTTATTTATTTTTTTTTTCAATGTGGAATTCTGGTATAGCTCATATTTAATTTTTTTTAAAAAAGTTTATCTATTTACTTGAATTTTATCTAATAAAATACTATTTTCTTGAATTTACAAAAAAATAATAATAAATTTGAGCCAAAAGAATTAGTAAAAATAATAAACATTTTCTTGAATTCTTTTTTTTTTTTTTTTTGGGGCAAGTTTGAGTAGGGAAAAAAACATTATGTTTAATTTATGAGTTATATTTAATTGACCATCAATCCTAAACCAAGTAAATAAGAGTTCTCACTTCCTATCTTGGAAGTTATGAATTAAAATTTTGCTTAAGATTATTCTAAAGAAAATGTTTTGATAATTGGCCGAGTATTTTAAGAGGCCAGAGACCATCATAATGAAAAAAAATTAAAATACATAAGTTCTTTTCTCATATCTCAAACATTGAACAAAATACACTCTTTAGAAAATCAAACTATTAGATTTTTTTTTCAATGTGTGAAACCAAATTCGAGATATGCATCACGAATTTGTTATTGATAAAAAAAAACCCGAGTTTGTCTATATTTATACAATTCGTTGTTGATTTTCTCCTTACGACTGTCTTTCCCAGTTGAAACTTGAAAGTTTGGAACCCTTTCTAACTTGGCGCCAAAAGAAAAGAAAAATAGATAGATCACGGATTCACGCCTAGCCCAAAGGGGGTTTTCTATCTCTAGTTCTCTCTCTAGGTTATGAATTTATAGTTTTGGGTAGAAATTATGAATTCAAATCAGTGTTGAAGAGAATCAGAAAATATATATATACGAATGCAGGTGGTACCTGGTGTGGACTCAGTTCATTCTGATATGGGCAGTGTACTCGTCCTTTTTCACACCCCTCGAGTTCGGATTCTTCAGAGGATTGCCGGAGAACCTATTCCTTCTCGACATCGCCGGACAAATCGCCTTCCTCATCGACATCGTCGTCCGCTTCTTCGTCGCCTACCGGGACGCCCACTCCTATCGTTTGGTCTACAGTCGCACTCTCATTGCCATTCGGTCACTTCCTTTTGCCCTATAACCGTTGTTTTCCTTTTGCCCTATAACCATTCGTTGTTCTGATAATCTATTGTTCTTCACAGGTACTTAAAATCTCGCTTTTTGGTCGATTTGATGGGTTGTTTGCCTTTGGATGCCATCTACAAGGTACTTTCCTTTCCTTGGCTTCACATGTTTGGGTAATTTGTTAGTAGTTACATTTCTTGTATCTGATTTGTTAGTTACATTTCTTGCATCTGATATTGTCTTTGAAAATTTGATATTTCTTGTACTTTTTCCTTTCCTTGGCTTCACATGTTTGGGTAATTTGTTAGTTACATTTTCCTTTTATGTTTGGGTAATTTGTTAGTTACATTTCTTGTACCTGATATTGTCTTTGAAAATTCAATATCATTATTCTGTTTGCTTGCTTAATTCCCTCTCATCTCAGCATTTATTATGAAATCCATTATTCATTGTGCCATTCATTTGTTTTTCTACACTATTATTTTCCCCCTTCTTAATATGATGTGATAATTCCAATTAGGGATTTGGACCCTCTCCAAAACTTTCTTCTTGCAAGCATCTCCAATTCACATCCAACTATAAAAATGTGCCATGTCATCGCTTGTGTAATTATTTTTATGCTTTTACACACAAATTATTCCAAACAACAATGGTGATGTGGTGTTTTTTTAAACGTTTTAAATTTAGGATTGGAGATTATGTCTATCACTTGGAGAATACATTGATTATCGGTAGTTGTATTCCTACCTAGAAAACATTACATTTAAAAAAAAAAAAAAAAAAAAATTATTAATAGGTTTTTTTTAACATAACACTTTTTTGACCCATAGAGAATGCAATTTGGGAGGCTTGTTCATGAATTCCATGTAATATGAACAACAAACTTTCACATATGCATTATATATATATATATATATATATATATATGAATATTAACAGAAAATTTTCTTTGTGCATGCACTATAACAAGTTTAATTCTTTCTAGTTCATCCTAAGCCATTTGCTCTAATCAGGTTTGCGGCAGAAAAGAACCAGTGAGGTATCTATTATGGATTAGGCTAAGTCGGGCACTTAGAGTGACAGAATTTTTTGAGAGGATGGAGAAAGATACACGTATCAATTATCTGTTTACGAGGATTGTGAAACTTCTTGTTGTTGAACTCTATTGCACACATACAGCTGCCTGCATCTTTTACTATCTGGCTACCACTCTGCCTGCCTCCAAGGAAGGATATACATGGATAGGAAGTTTACAGATGGGTGACTATAAATACGCACACTTCAGAGAGATTGATCTTTGGAAGCGTTATGTAACATCACTGTATTTTGCCATTGTTACCATGGCAACAGTTGGTAAGCTTCTTTTGCATGTTATGTTTCACCAAATTTGATTAGATTGCATTTGTCTGATTATTTATTTGTTGGGAAACCTCATTTCTAACCTCAAAGTTCTATATATGTTCATTTTTACTGTCTTAGTTTCTGAATTCATCAATAATGGTCCATGTCTTTCATTTTTTCTCCTGTCAAATCTTACAATAGATTAGAGTTATTTGGATGCTTCTTGAAAAAAGATAAAAAGTATATATCAGTGCATCATTGAATAGAGTTCAATCATGTGCTATAAGATGTTTGCAAACTCTCATGCAATGAATTTTCATGACAGTATCATGAAGTAGTGAAACAATTAAAAAATAATAGAACTTAGGAACCCAAAAACTTAGTTTCTAAATTCCTCAATAATAGTCGATGTCTTTCATTTTTTTTTTTCCTGTCAATTCTTACAATAGATTAGAGTTGTTTGGATGCTTCTTGAAAAAAGATATATATCAGTACATCATTGAATAGAGTTCAATCATGTGCTATACGATGTTTGCAAGCACTCATGCCATGAATTTTCATGACAGTAACATGAAGTAGTGAAACAATTCAAAAATAATAGTAGAACTTAGGAACCCAAAAATGTAGTTTGTTCTTTTTTTTTATAAGTAAAAATAGAAAGCGTTCAAAAGGGGAACGCATCCCAAAAGCTACACAAAGGCCAAGGCAAAAAATGTAGTCTGTTCTTCATTTAAATATTTATGTGCATCACTTGTTTCTTTAAATTAGCTTTCTAGTCATCAAGCAAAGTTCTTTAATTGTCTTCTTTTATTTATTTATTTTTGTGGTTTTGCACTACCATCCAATTTCCCTTTCTGTGTATTAGTGACAAATATCAGAACTAGGAGGGGAAAAAAGGGCATACACCAAACATTAAAAGCAAAAACTGGGGCTTTTTTCTTTGTATCTTTTTGTGTGTTTTCAAGTGTAATATCACAGTATAATTGTTAAGAAAATTTTAGAATATCTTCAGGGAAGAAGCAAGTATTGAGATATGTATCATTACTATTTTAGTTCAAAATTCATCGATGCAATATAACTCCTAACCCTTAGCTTGTTTTTCATTTTTTTTTTTTTAAATTTTATTTTATTTATAAGGAAATGCTAGTAACAATATATCTAACATGATAAACAATTATTCATTTTAAATATACATGGACACACACACATATATTAATTTTTATACATATCTACATTAATGTGACATATTGGCATGTTCTTGCTGTGCCCGTAATGCCTCATATTCTATGTTTTATGAACTTGTTGTATCACCATATCCGTATTGTTTCCGTAGCCCACATCTGTGTTCATGCTACATGTGTAACCATTAGGAAGTGGGATCTTACAAATATTTTTCATTTCTTGATTCTTGATTTTGTGAAAAAAGATAGCTACTATTTTATTATATCTTTTGTTTTATAATCCCTTGAAAAAAGATTCTTGATTTGGTTGAGTTTCCCATAGAGATGGGAAGTTCATTTTGCAGCTGTTTGCGATGAATATCTTGCAGGCTTTAGTCTACCAATTAATATCTTACAAACCATGAATATATTGCTGTGATACTGTCTCATTGACCTTTTCTTCACATGGTACATGCGTTAGTTTAACTGAGAACAAATGCATTGCTTGTTGTAAGCTCTTAGAATAAGAGGTAAAGGTCCATGGATATCGACCGAGTAATCAAATATTTTTAAGGACATGCAATTAATTACTGATTATTAAAAAAAAAAAAGAAAAGAAAAAAAATTAAAAACACGTTTCTGTGGCGGGCATAAGATAACCCAGTTTAACCATGAAGCTCTAATAAGGATATGTTCCTCGGGAGACTAAAGCCTCAGATGGTTAGGACAAATGTTGATGGTGAGGCTAGACACATTTTACTTCTTTTGATAATCTGCAAGCACATACACACATGGTCAACATATATGTCTGCTTTATTATACTCTCTCTCTCTCATTCTCCTTTCCTTTCATTAATTTTACCTCTTTGAGGAAGGATTTCGTGCCCTTTTCTCCTATGTACTTCCACTTTATTCTTAATAAAATTCTTATCAATATTTGTTAGATATAAGCTAGTCTCTAGTAGACTGTACACAACAACGGTTACTTCTAAGACTGCCTAAAGTTACACCGGGTACAGCCCTACGGGTGTATGCCCAGCTACTTAATTCTTCTAATACCCAATTCTTTTGAGTTGGGGACATCAATAAGTTGTTGAATGTCAATTATGTCAGTATATCTTCTTGTATGCTCTAAGAAATATACTATCTATGTAACATATTTTGCACATAGGAATCTTCCTCTAATCTAGATAGAATGGAGGACCAGATGGGGAAGTTTCTTGAAATTTCTGGTAAACTGGGAATATGTCTCTCTTGGATGTGCAATGGGGTTGCTTATGCTTTCTTAGAGTTGGAATGCTAAATCTCTGCTGTGACCCCACTTTTCTTTGGTTGGATTTTTGCCTTTTGCCACAGGTTATGGAGAGATACATGCAGTCAATATCAGGGAAATGATATTCATTATGATCTATGTCTCTTTTGACATGATTCTTGGTGCTTATCTACTCGGTAACATGGCGGCATTGATTGTGAAAGGATCAAAAACAGAAAAATTTAGAGATAAAATGGCAGATATCATCAAGTATACGAATAGGAACAAACTTGGAAAGCACATAAGTAATGAGATCAAAGGCCATGTGCGATTACAATACGAGAACAGGTACACTGAGCTTGCAATTCTGCAGGATATTCCAGTCTCTATCCGAGCTAAGGTATTATGTTCTTAAACCTTAATTATGCCTCAATTACAGGCAGATCAACAACCAATATTGATTTAGTGCTTGAAATCAGTTCATCCATGCCTACTAATGTATCTATCTCCTTTGGAGAATTTGCTTATGTGCAATTTTATTCATCACCCAAACAAGAAAAAAAGAAATGGTCTGAATTGCTTCGCCTCATGAATTGTTTCTTCTTTGCAGATTGCACAAAAGTTGTATGAGCCATACGTTAGAGAGGTTCCTATTTTCAAGGGGTGTTCTTTGGGATTCATCAACCAGATAGTAAGTCATTTAACATAGTGTGGTACTTGCATTCTACATTTACCCTTTACCTAAGAAGCACGGACACGGATACGGGACACGGATACGACACGACACGGACACGGCGACACGGCAAATCCAAAAAAATTAGGACACGGACACGGACACGGCGAATAGTGTGTGTGTATATATATATATATATATATATATATATATATATATGATGTAGTACTTTAAAAATTACCGAGTGTTACTATTTTTCATCAACCTCACAATGGAAAATATATACAAATCATAACTTATAACTAATAAACTATAAAAGAACAATGTTGCAGAGTTATAAAACCAAATAAAAAACAAGATATTAGAATAATAACTAGTATCATTTAATCATCATTGCAACTTTACTCCAAATACAAAAGCATAGACTGAAAGGACTATTAACATTCATGATTGTTTAACATTCAGGACTGTACTGTTAGCACTTAACATTCACAAAAACCTAAAGGCTAGTCCCCAAAAAAGATACAAAAACAAGTCAGTGTACTATCATCTATTCCCATCCATCATTTGACCTAGGACTTTACCATTTACAATACCAAAAGGGTAGTCCAAAACAAAAAAAAAAGAACATATCAGCATTCATCTATTGTTGTTCATCATCAATTGTCTCATGAATCTCATCATCGTTAACACTTCCATCATCGGTAAATAATACCGTCTCTAATTCTGGCTCATCAAGTGAGAGGTTTGCAACCTCAAGCACCCCAACATCACCAAATGAATCAAATGCATCTCCTGCAATATCCCACATCTTAGTTCGTCCTTCATTGTACTGTGGGGTTCTCCTTGACAGAAGACGGAGATTACTATGAATGAAAACCAAATCTTCAGCCCGTTGTGGCGCTATCTTGTTCCTTCTCAATGAGTGAATAAAAGAATAAGTACTCCAGTTCCTCTCACAACATGAGTAGGAAGAAGGCTGGACAAGCAACTTCAAAGCTAACTCTTGAAGCAAGGGACCATATGAACCATGTACAACCCACCAACTTTTAGGATCCATGGTATATTTATCACATATAGAATCACTCTCCCCAAATTCCCCCGAGTTTGATGAAAAATTAGCATACTCCAATTGGACTTTTGAACGCTCTTGTGGGTCACTAAAGTATTTTTTAAGGCACCTTGTTCTCTCTCTTGAGACCTCTAAATCCTTGTGTGGTGGAACTCGACTTTGGTCTTCACTAAGCCACACATCACTATAGTACCTACAATAAATAAGAGAATGCATTTAATTCATAATTTAATTTCCTTAATTCTAAACTAAGATTAAAACTTCTTTAGCTTACAAATTAATATCTAATGATTTACCTTGGATTTAGTGAATGTGCCAAGCAATGAAGCGGAGTATTGTTCTTGTTCCAACGAGCTACAAGTATCCCATGCACCACTTCATAAAAGGAAGAACTTTCACTTTGTCGCTTTCTTTCATACCTATATATTGCCATCTTCACTTTTTCAATCATTGTATCCCACATATCATAAACTAAGTGAAGACAAGGCTTATCGGTATCACAAGCCCTTAGCATGTCATAAATAGGTGAAGTAAAGGAAAGGATACAATCAATCTTTCCCCACCATTGTTCATCCAACAGCTTCTCTCTCACATAATCGGCCTTTCCTACATCATCCTCCTTATAGCAAGTCCACTTGTCACTTATGACCATTGCTTGGAGACCACCTTTTATAAGTTTAAATCTTTTCATCATCACAATAACAGAAGCAAAGCGTGTCTCTGCAACTGAAAGCAACTTCAAGCTGACAAACTCATTGAAAATAGCTAATCTCATTGAATGGTTCATGATGAAATTCTTTATTATTGTAACCTCATCAGCATAATCAAGAATCCAACCACACTCTGCATATGCAATTTCATTCTTTTCCACATTTTTTGCAGCACAAATATTTTTGAGAGTATGGACCACACAAGGTGTCCAAACAATGTGAGGGAATTGCCCTTCAATTAGTTGTCCAGCAGCCTTGCAATTTGGGGCATTGTCTGTAATTACTTGGATCACATTTTGGGGGCCAACCTCATTTATGACTTCCTTCAACAAATTGGAAATGAAAAACTTGTCTTTAATTCCACCGGAACAATCAACAGCTTTCAAAAACATGGGACCTCCTTCTGTCATAGCCATAAAATTAATTAAAGGCCGCCTTTGTGGATCACTCCAACCATCACTTGCAATGCTAACACCCTTTGCCTTCCATGTACTCCTAATTGGTTGCAATAATCTATCAATATTTGCCTTTTCTTTTTGAAGTAGAGTGGTTCTTAATAGATTATAACCCGGAGGCAAATAACCTGACAGAGGATTATTTGCAGCATAGTTGTATGAACTCACATAATACGGGTTTCTTGCTAGATGAAACGGCAATCCTGCGGAATAAAACATCCTAGCAAACTCTGAGTGCAATTGTTCCCGAGCCTCATTATTAAATGCCTTCCCAATGGCACCCCCACTTGCCTTTCTTTTCTTTGGTACATAAGCCTCCTGAGTGAGACTAGTAGTACCACCCAATGATGCACTAGACGGCGGCAAAGGAACTTTTTTTGGTTTAGAATTTTTAATTCGCAATTCGGCTTCTTCAATTGCTTTTTGCATTTCTGCAATATTCTGATATGTGACTTTTGGACATATACGAATACCCATACCAGTGTTCTGCAACAAGTGGGCTTTAACTCTTGTATAAGACCCCCTGAATTCGTTATTACAAAAGTGGCATTTGAATAAAAAATTTCCTCCTCCACCACCAATTTTTTCTAATTGTGTGACATAGTTCCAAAGTGGTTTGTTATCATCTTGTTCGAATTGAGGAGTACAACTAGCAACTGATGTAGACAATGACATGTCTAATTTCCTGGACATAAAAAGAAAAGAAAAAAAATCCATACTTACAGCAGTCAGCAAAGAAAGAACAGCCAGCAAAGAAAAAATAAATTCCTATTTGCTACAGATTCTTAAGTCATATGCAATAGCTGAAATTAAATCAAAGATGAAATCCAATTCATTTACAGGTCAATAAGTCACGACTCACACAAGCTAAAATTTAAAGCAAGAATAAAGACAACAGAGAAGAAGAAGAAGAAGAAGAAGAAGAAAGAAATTAGGAAAGAAATTAAGGTCTGTAAAAAAGGAAAAATACCAGAAAAGAAGAAGATGGGTTTGTGAACTGGGGTTAGTGGAGGGGGGGGGGGGGGGGAGAGAGAGAGAGAGAAGAAAAAGAAAGAATTTGGGGTTTTGAAAAAGGAAAACAAAAAACAAAAAATAAAAAATAGATGAAGAAGAAAGAAACTGGGGTTAGTGAAAAACGGGGGGAAAAAAAAAAAAGGAGAGAGAAAAGAAAAAGAAAGAAACTGGGGTTTTGAAAAAGGAAAACGAAAAAAAAAATAGATGAAGAAGAAAGAAAGAATCTGGGTTTGTGAAAAAGGAAAAAGAAAAAAAAAAATGAAGAAGAAAGAAAGAAACTAGGGTTTGTGAAGAAAAAGAAAGAAAAGAGGAAGGAGGAGGAAGAAAAGAGAGGAGAGAGAGAGAGATTGACCTGGAGGCTGGAAGGAGTCGCTTTGATCTGCAGCAGGAAGTTGCAGAGCTTCGTCGTCAGTTTGAGAGAGCACAACCCCCGTCCTTTGAATCTGATCTTGTAATAGTGTAATGACTGCCTTAAATATCTATCTCTTTTGTTTAAAATTACATATTAACCTTGAAAGTTTAAAATTATTATGTTCTGACCACATAAGTAAGTAAATAACTTTATATATTTGTACTTTAACCCAACTTTCTTTTAAAAATTATCTTTTAAACCCCCAAAAATAAGACACGCGTGTCGGACACACACCCTGGCGTGTCGGACGCGTGTCCGTGCCGTGTCCAATCCGTGTCCGAAAATTTTAAAAAAATAAAAAATTCTAGACACGCTTTTTGCCGTGTCCGACACGTGTCGGGCCGTGTCCGACGCGTGTCCGTGTCCGACACGGATTCTTTGCCTATTTCGGAGTGTCCGTGCTTCCTAGCCCTTTACAAAGCTATGACACTTATTGACTTAATTGTGGAAGGTGAATACGTCATTCTGCTAAATGTCGTGGATCTCGTTTAAATGGCAGATTCTATTGGCATTCTGCTGCCTACTACCTATGTTATAATGGAAAATCCAATCGTCTTTCCCCTCTCAGCTTACACCTTTCCACGCATGATGGGTTAAAAATCTATATTCTGGTCTCACAATTTTAAATTGGTTAGATCTTTATATACATTGTCTGTCATGGTATCAAAGCTTTGTTCAGGAGGTTTGATTCAAGTCCTTAATTTTGTTTGTTTGTTTTCACTTGACTTGATCTAAATGCTTGCTCCTCCACATGAAAGAGGTTTGCACATGGAGTGTGTGGAAGCTTGATATATAATTGAAGATGCAAAGAATTCACTCTCTCTATTTTCACAGAGTCTCATTGCATTTTCAACAAAAATCCCCCCTACATTCTCTCCTTCCTCTCTATTTATAGGCATTTACAAGTGCTATAAGTGATTCCCTAAGTTGGGTCTCTTGACCTCAGGCTTCATTCTTTACGGGCCTAGCTCTTCTCGGAAGATCCCATGCAATCGGCCCATTCCGCAACGTCATTGTGTGGGCTGAATCCAGTCTCTCTGCCCAATCCTTTTTTCGTGGGTCATATCCGGCCCATGTCACTTCCGGTACCCTCAACTGCCCCCATAATTACTCCATAATTAATTAGGGCGTAATTATTAGAGGCTGCTAATCATGGCTTGACGGCTTGAGAAGATCGCATGGAAGAATGGACGGTTGGATTTGGGAGTCGGTGCTTCGAGATTCAAAAAACTCCTCGCTTTCCTGGCTCTTCGACCTTTGGGCCCACCTTGTCTTTATAAGCCACAGAGACGTTCCATCAGTCCTCTTTACCGTCTCTATCTTGCTTCACCATTAGTCAAATCTTCATCTGTCCC